ACCACATGTGCCCTTTATCTCGGTGTGCTCAGACAGTACAAGTGTCCTGAGGCAGAAGGTGGCAGATGGTCTCTTTAGTGTCACCTGGACAAAAGCCTCCTGTCACACAAGTGTACTCCCCCAGGCTACATGCCAAATCTGGGTCACCTGCCCACTGCTGCCTCCTGGTGGTCCTACAGGCCTGGGCAAAATAGTGAGATGGGGTGATTGGAGTCCAAAGCCACTGGACCTCACAGACTGTATGCAGGAGGAGCCCTAGAGAGCACTGTGCCAGCCTGGGCACTTGGGGACCCTGACCTGAACTGTCTGGTGCAAGTGGACAGCTACCACCTTCTTCATGCAGTCTTTGATCATCTGGGAGGTAAAGAAGTTGGCCTCGCCTTTCTTGTCCACGGCAATCTTGCGGTAGTCCTCCAGCAGGATTGGGCAGATGGCCTGGGTGGGATGGGTCATGTAGATGGGTCCATCATAGCCCACCATCTCACTGAAGTAGGGGAGTGCTCCACAGTGGTCCAGGTGGAAGTGGCTGGAAGGACAGGCACCAGTTGGCCTGGGGTCACCCTCTCTCAGCCACCCCACTGCAGTTCTGGGCTCATGGGTCACTCCACTCATTCACTGAAGACACCCTCCTGATTACTGAAGTCAAGGATAACAAATACAAGAAACGCTATCTTCCCAAATGTGCAGCCTGAACACTCAGAGCAGGAAACAAATCGGCAACTAAAACACGTCTTAGCTACAGATGTGCTCTGCACAGAAACAAGGCAGCTGAGGGGGATGGCATCATAGGAGGGGAGAGCTGTTGTCTCTACCCCATGGTCAGGAAGTCCTCCTGGCTAAGGTAGGAGGAGCTGGGACTGCACCAGGGAGGCCTGAGCCCCAGGGTAGGCAAGCAGCCCGTGACCATGTCCCAAACCACAGACATCCAAGCAGCCGAGGACCCAGCTTCCCAACATAGGGTGCTTCAGCCCAAAGGACTCCTCTGGCCACTGAGAGACAGGACCAGAATGCTGAGGCAATTGGGCAAGGCCACTCAGAGCCGGTGGTGACAGCAGGGATTGAGGGGATAGAGCCTGAGGGTGAGAGCAGGGAGGGGGGAAGGCAAAGTTGTCCCCCCTGAATCAGCCTGTCAAGCTGGGGAGGTGACAGGTGGCTAGCTAGACCACGCACCTAGAGCTAAGCGTTAGGATCAGGGTCAGGAATGAGAACAATCAGTGGGCTTAGTGTTCCAGAGACAGCAAAAGAACAGGACCAAGGCTGGGGTTGGGGAGAAAGAGCAAGGAGATGGGGTGTCTGACCAGGAAACAGGACAGAACCAACCAGAGGACCCAATCTCTGCTACCCAGTCAGGGCCTGAAGAGCAGCCTGGGATGAAGGTGAAGCATACCATCTAGGCACTGCCCTGCCCCACTCAGCTCTTAGGCACTTACCAGACTCTAGTCCACACACTTGGGGACACAGTCAGCAGGGACACTTAGCATGGAGTGCCCCCTAGTTCTGAGGGGCTGACCACCACCCTGAGTGCCACACAGGTAACCTGGGGACAGGACTCCATGCCACAGTCAGTAGGCAACACACCACACCTGTAGCCTCTGTGGGTAGGGGAGGAGAAAGGCCCCTAAAGGAAGCCGACCTGATGATCACACAGTCCAGGAAGTCAGTCAGCCGGCCATTCTGGGTGATGTAGGAGAAGTCAGGAAAGCGCCTCTGAGGAGAAACCACGGGAGAGGTGAGAACACAGCTGGCACCCCAGTCTCCAGGAATGGGGGCATACAGCTGGCACCCCAGGAGCAGCATACACCCAGCTGATAGCGTCAACCACTGGCTGCTCACAGCTGCCTGGAAGGACAAGCTGCTGGCTAAAGTCACCACCAACCTCACTACCCAGCACCTCCTCAAGCCCAGCCTACAGAAACCCAGCAGGACCCAGGGAGCCTCACCCCACCCTGAATGGGTACAGCTGGCCAGGCACGCTCACTGCTGCCCACTTGCCCTCTCACTCCAAGACCCAGGGATCCTATTACAGACAGCTACAAGGAGCAATTGAGAGATGGACCCTCCCTCCGGGCACCTGCATTTAGGACTCACGTCATCATTGAAGCCCATGTGCATCCCGCAGTCCAGCATGACATTCTTGCCCGCGATGGAGACCAGGATGCAGCTGCGGCCCACATCCTGCCCAGCCCCTGCTCAAGAGAAAGGGCAGGTGATAGGTATGGCCATACCTCCTCCTTCTGCCCCCAAATTCCCTCTTTCACTGCTGCAAGTGCTGCCCGCACTGTCACCTCCCAGGCTCTGCAGAGCTGAGCTGGGGCACTGGACCCCAAGGCCACTGTATAGGCAGAGCATGGGCTGAGAAGACAGCCACCTCTACTTGCCTGCAAGAGAAATGCACAGGGAAGGGACGAAATGCTGAGCTACCAGCCTAGGGCCAAAGTGCCCTCTTCCACCAAGCTTCCCCTCAATTCTCAAAGTTGGGGGCAATCCCAATGGAGGATACCCAAGCACTGGCTGTGGTCCTAGCTCCAATAACAGGCAAACCACTGCTCTGTGGGTCTCACTGCTGCTCCCAAGTTCCAGAGCTTGACAGGGCCATTTGTGGGCACTTAGCCAAGCTGTGAATTGAGGTCTTCTCTTTTGGGACTCATTGGGGGGTCCAGGGTGCCTTATGGTGGTACTGCTACAGAAAGACACCCAGGTGGCCTCAAGTCACTCACAGGGATACAGCCCTGGCTGTCCAGCAATAGCCGACAACCGTGGCTACAAAAGGAACAACCCAACCCAGGCAATGGGAATGCTGCTCCACACCACTGCATCCCTAGCTCTTGCCAACCATGGTCCCACTCATTCTTCTGACTTCCAAGAGACCCCACCAGCTTCTGCAGTCCAAGCCCTTGGCCAGTCCAACACCTGACCCTATGTGGCCATCTGTCACTTCCTCTGGGGCCTGGAAGCTACAAACAGAGGAACACAGCCCAAGCCTCAATGGGGATCTGAGGACACCAAATAGTCTGGTTTCCACCTTGAATCCTACACATCTGCTTCTGCCATCTACCTGAACCAACCATCTGTCAGCATCATACACATCAAGTTGACCTGGCCATGACCCATCAGCCTGCTGGTTTCAGGCAGGCATGGCAGGGGTCTTGGGTTGTCTTGCAGACAAGAGCCCCAGAGGAGAGGGTCCCAGCTGTCTCTTCCCTACTGCACCTCTAGACTTGAGGCCAAGTCAGGTCCAGAGACCCTCCAGATGTTTATGGGAGGGGAAAGGCAAGGACCTGAGGTCATAGAAGCAGCCATGAGCACATAGCCACAAAGTACAGGGCCAGGTTTGGTTATCTGAATTCCAACACTAGTTCTTAGGCACTGGCAGTTCTTCCAAAGCTCCGGAACCATGGCTGGAAAGACTCTGGAGAACACGACTTCCCAGCAGAGGGTGAGTGGGTAGGAAGATGGAAAGACAGCTGTGCAAAGGCCCTACAGTGGAGTAACCTGGGGAGACTATCGGTATCTGGCCAAGGTGATCTGGAATCCTGAGCAGGACATCCAAATGGAAAGATCCTCCAGAACTCTGTTCAGGGAAGGAAGCAAGTTCTAGGGCCACAAATAGCATATGTGCACAAAGAAAGCCAGAGATATTGAGACAGTTTCTGGGACTCTGGATTTCAAGACTTCAAGAAGAGCTGGAGTTGTGGCTCAGTGGTAGAGTGCTTGCCTCGCATGCGTGAGGCACTGGGTTCAGTTCTCAGCACCATATAAAAATAAATAAACAAAATTGGGGATGTGGCTCAAGTGGTAGCACGCTCTCCTGGCATGCGTGCTGCCCGGGTTCGATCCTCAGCACCACATAAAAACAAAGATGTTGTGTCCGCCGAAAAACTAAAATAAATAAATAAATATTTTAAAAAATCTCTCTCTCTCTCTCTCTCTTAAAAAAAATAAAGGTATTTGTCCATCTACAACTAAAATAAACAAATAAATAAATATATATATATAAAAGACTTCAAGAAGTGTGAATCTATACTTTTTTCCCAAAAGTGAAGCTATTTTTTTTTTAACGTTGCAGAGACTGGCAAGACAGGATGCTACTGAAGGTTGGTTGGGGGTAACCTTGGCACGAGCAGCAGAGGGTGGAGGCGGACACAGCCAGAGAGAGGAATCAAACAGTGGAGGTGGAGGGGAGCTGAGGAAGCAGAGGTGGGCACAGAGGGTGTTCAAGCAGCAGTTCACGTGCAGGGAGGGGTCAGCACGCTGATGGAGGCACCCATAGCCATGATGTAGACCCTGTGGCTGGACTTAAACCCACTGCCCGGCTAGACACAAAAACAGCACCTCCGCAGGACCCACTGTACCTGCTAGCCACCTAATCCCAGGTGGTCTCATGCTGGTTTCAGTGCTAAGGAGCCTGAGTATGGTAGCTGAGCCCCCTTGAAGTCACAGCAAGCTCTGGAGCCAAGACCAACCCCAAAGCCTTTGGACCCCGAGCCGAGGAGGCCCCAGCTCTGACCTGCCCCTACTCCTGCCCCGCGCCGCCTGCACACAGTCTCCCAGTGGGTACAGCGCAGGCGGCCCGCGGGGGCAAAGGCGCCCGGCCCTCAGAGTGCGCAGACTCAGGGCAAAATGCCGCACGTCCTCGGCGGCTCCGACTCACCCAAGGGAGTCACTCTGATCTCAGGCATCCTGCGCTCGCGGCGGGCCCTCAGCCCAGATCCTCCGTGCTCCGCTTACAGGGCGGGCCAGGGACGCGCAACCCAACTAGCCGCGGCGACGCACTGCGCAGGTGCCACCACGGGGCCAACTTCCGGTCTGCTCGCCGGAAACGCCGGCTGGTGCGTGGAATCCGGATTGGACGGGTGGCAACCAATCAGAGTGCACAGGCAGGGTAAGGAGGCGGGGCGAGGAGGGGCGGGGCCGCGCTCGCCACACCTGCCCAACCGCAGGTTAGGAGAGGTGAGGCAGCCTCGTAACTGGTGAGAGCCGGCGCGGGGGAGGCGGGGCGAGCGAGGAGCCGGCTCCCCAGCCGCTCCGCGCCGCGCCCCGCCGCGCAGATCTGCGGCCGTGGTCAACCCTCCCCGCCATCCGGATTCTGCCGCGCCCTAAGTCCCGCAGCAGGAGCCGAGACCCGCCAGCCCGGTGCCCGCTAGACTGCTAGGTGAGACTTGCAGGTGCCAGAGGGGACGTGCTGATGGACGTCCAGCCTGCCCTCCTGCCCGGCCCTATCTTCCCCGGGGGAGGCTCAGAGGTATCCTGCTCCACCTTCAGGGAACTGGCAGGCTGCCGGCTCCCGGCTGCACAGACACGGCCCTTCCTGTTCCCACCCCTCCCGGCACAGCGCTGAGAGGCCCCTGGCAGTCCTGCTGCTGGCTCGGGTTCTGGGCGGGAAGGCTAGACCCCGAAGGAGATTGGGTGGCCAAGAAGGAACCCCTGGGGTCTTGGAGGCATCTGCTCAGTGAACAGCACTAGGCCCTGAGGGAGGGGAGGAGCCCCGAGGCCCAGGCTCTGCAGCCCTCCACACCTGAAGACACTGTGAGCCATCTGCTCGGGCTCCACCCTGACCCAGCAGGCAGCCCAACCCGTGGAACCTGCTGGTTCTCCACCCGCACTGGCTCCCAGGAGGCTGGGTCAGCCTGGGCGGCGGGAAGGGCAGAGGGTGCAGAGTGTTTTCCTCAGAGCTGACGGACTTTGTGGGTGGAAGACAGAACCGGTGTGGAGATCCAGCTGTCCTGTTCCTGTCAGCCTCTCAGGTCGGGAGGCCAGACAGGGCTCCCAGCATCAAGGGGCACAGGAACCTCCAGCCCCTGGTGGGGTGAGTGTTCGTCCTGGACATAGGTGAGACGCAGTCAGGTACCCAGAGCCCATGAAGCACCCCCACAGGTTTGCCATGAGCCCCAGGCCCTTGGGGCACCCAGGAAGGTGGGTGCTGGGGTGATTGGAGGCAGACCAAGGTGTGGACACTGGGATGTCTGTGGAGTGACCTCAGAGACACAAGCAGAATCCAGAGCCTGTTCCCACCTTGAGAACTTGATCCTGGACCATTTCCAGAATGTTCCCTGGAGTGTTCCTTTGGGGAGGGCCTGTGGCAGTCTTCTGAATGTGGTAAGACCTTTAGCCGAGCCACCCTTCTGTATGGAATGTGTGTAGGTCCAACAGCAGGAGGAAAGATGGGTGTCCACCTGTGCAGCAGATGCTGGCCCCACAGCCTGTACCCTGGCCTTAGAGTACAGCCACAAGCAAGGAAGAGAAGTCTAGTCTGCCCAGCCACCCTCCCACCTGCTCTGGCGCTCCTATCTCTGTTTTCCCCAGTATCTGTCTCCTCGTCTGCTGTGTCAGAAGTGCCTACTGTCTCAGAGTCCGAGTTTCTCTTAGGATCTACACTCCTCATCAGAATGTTGCCTTCACAGGGGGCTTCAGGTGCAACCATGCTGAGGTAGCGCCTGTCTCTCAGAAGGATTTCCCCACTGTGAAACAGGGATTTTAGGGAAAGAAATCAAAACAAATAAGCAGGAAGCCTTGACAGAGGGGCCTGCTGCAAACAGGAGGCAGCTGGGGGTCCTCGGGTCAGGGGCTGACCTGAGTCAGTGGCATGAATGACAAGGAGGAGCCATGCCCAAGTCTGTGGGTATGGTCAGTCTGCGTCGGGTCTGTGAGAGAGCCTGTGGCTCTGGGGAGGGGGCACTCAGCGTAAGAGAATGGGGCTTCGTCATGGGCAGACAGTTGCAGGACCCCAGCTATTTCAACTGTTCCTCCATCCTCCCACCTCCCTGAAAGAAATGAGCTACAGAGAGAGCTGACCCAGCAGAGGACCCACAAGCTCTGTGTGGAACTGTTTTAGTTCGTGTTAGAAAATGGATGGCTTGGAGGCGGAGTTCAACCTGAACGTTGTGCTGGTCAGCTTCCAGCAATGTCTCGGCGAGGAGGAAGAAGTACTGCTGGACCACTACATCGCCGGCTGGAAGGGGCTGGTCAGGTGCGTGCACAGGGCACCTTCCTACAGAGGTCCCCAAGTTAGCAGCTTTCCCTGACGGAATCCACTTGCCAGGGCACAGAGCAGGCATGCCGGTGGGCTGTTCTCTGCCAGTCTTCTCACCCCTGCCTCTGGGCCAACATGTGCCCACAGTCTGAGGGTGGTGTCCCTGGAACAGGTTGGGTACTCTGGGTTTGGGTGAGCCCACAAGTTCTGTCTTTGCTGCACAGGTTTCTGAATAGCCTAGGCACCGTCTTCTCCTTCATCTCAAAGGATGTGGTCTCCAAGCTGCAGATTATGGAGCGTCTACGCAGCAGCCCCCAACATGAGCACTACGTGAGCCTGCAGTCCATGGTGGCCTACGAGGTGGGCAATAAGCTGGTGGACCTCGATCGCCGCTCCCGCCACCCAACCTCAGGCTGCCGGACCTTGCTGCGCCTGCACCGAGCTCTGCGCTGGCTACAACTGTTCCTGGAGGGCCTGCGCACCAGCCCTGAGGACGCGCGCACCTCCGCACTCTGTACCGACTCCTACAATGCCTCTCTGGCCGCCTACCACCCCTGGATTGTGCGCCAGGCAGTCACCGTGGCCTTCTGCACCCTGCCCACACGCAAGATCTTCCTTGAGGCCATGAACGTGGGGTCCCCGGAGCACGCTGTGGAGATGCTGGGCGAAGCCCTGCCCTTCATCGAGCGTGTGTACGATGTCTCCCAGAAAGTCTATGCAGAACACTCCCTGTTGGACTTGCCATAGTGGCCACTCCCAGGCTGGGTGGGCTTCCCCTGCTGGAGAGCTGGACTTGGGCAGCCAGGGCCCAGGCACTCCACAACAAAGCTTTCTGGGTGCCACCCTCACCCCTGCAAGCTGAGCTTATTGAGAGCCATCAGCTGACAGGAAAGGCAGGCAGCTGGCCTAGGAGAGGTGGCACAAGCCCTCCTCTTGGCCCAGAATGAGACCCTCCTCAGTTACAAGAGTGCTCAGTCGAGCCTCACTGAGGTGTGGAGACTGGAGGTGGTGGGGGCGCATAATCCTGCATGAGCAACAGCCTGGTGACTGCCCTACTGCTATGTGTGGATTCTGTGAAATGGTGTGAGGACACAGGTCCCTGGGCACCAAGGCTCTGTGCTGCTCCGGCCAGTATGCCCAGTCCACATGTATACTTCCCATGCTTGTCCTAGGCCAGGCCTCGGACACAGCAGGCCAAGCTGCCCGAGTCCTCTCCATACCCTGGCTGGCTATCCCGAGGCAGAATGAGAACCTTGGGCAGGGTCTGGGCACTGAGGACTCTCCCAGTCCTTTACCTGCCTCCTGTTAGCCTGTCTGCGTGCTGAGCAAACCAGAGCCTTCACGTCCTTGGCACTGGCACCTGGAAGCTGAAGTCTTGAGCCGAAAGACCTTCCCAGCTATCTAAATAGCTCCTGCAAGGAGGGCTTGAGCTCCCCGGAGGGACCCAGGTGGATGTCTCCTGCAGAGATACCATTGCAGGCCACCGCAGCATGGCCCAACACCACTGGGTGGAGCCAGGCACTCCCTCTGCCCCTGCTCTGCCGCCTTTCCCCACAGTGCTCAGGAGATGCGGGGGTGCTCAGACTAGGAGGGGGCTGGACCCCCTTAACTAGCTGACAGTTATCAGATGGCCACACCATCCAGCCATCATGCAATGCTTAGGGGCCTGGTCACTCCCACTGCTCTTCACCAACCCACAGGGACAGTGTTCGCAGTACAGCAGATGTGCGTGAATGCAGCTTCCAGGGTGTGCTTGGCCCTTTGGAAAGTGACATGGGTGATATTGTCCAACATAATAAACAATGCTCATGGGACTAGTTATGGCATTCCACGGTGGGGTGTTGGGTACTCCAGGTGCCTGGTTACTTTGGGGATGACCATGGAGGTAATCTGCAAGGGCATGGAGAAGCCTGACTCCAGACAGGCCTTAGGCATGTGCTCCCAACCCCAAGAACTCAAAAGGCTTTTTTGACCATGAGCACACAAGGCATGCCCAGGGCAGAAGCCGGCTCTGGGATGCTGCCTGTGCTTGTTCTGAAGGCTTTATCTTGATTCCTCGCCATGAAGACCAAATCATCCCCATTTCACCGGGAGAAATCTGACACCCAGGGTCACCTACACGAGAGGCTGGGTAGGAAGGACAGGCCTGAAGCTACACATGTTGGAAGAGAAAGGTCTTCCCAGGCCAGGGCCAAATGTAGGTGGGGACTGCTCTCTGCCAGGACAGCCAGCTGGACAGGAAGAGGATGCACACTGGGCAAGGTCCTCTTGGCACTCCCCACAAGGTCAGGGTCCACTTGGGACTGGCCAGAGAGCAAGGCTGCAGGTGCATTGTGTGTGTGGTGCCCACGTGTGCACTCTGGGCCCCTTGCCATGCAACAGTGAAGAGGCACTGGCCGGCTCCACCTCCCATAAGTCTGTGCTGGGCCCAGTGGAGCCCATTCTCCCCCAGCTCCTCCCAGTGCTCCGCCCAAGGGCCTCGCAGACTCAGGCTGAGAAGAGGCCCAGGGTGCCTACAGCTGTTCCAGTCCATTTGGTTATGACCTTTCCTCCCTCGTTTGCATGAATCTGTCCCCAAAGGGGGTACCTACATATCAGTCAAGGTGAGAGTACCTGGGCCAGGAGTTAGCTGAGTGGGCATAGTAGGAATAGGGTTCCCACAGCTTGCAGGGATCAGATCCCCAACAGAGGGAATGGCCAGATCCTCAAGGGGTCCGTCCTGCTCCTGGACAGCCTCCACCCCAAGACCCACTTCACACCCCAGTGGTACGGCAGAGGCCTGGCTATCTCCCAGCTGGTCTGTAGGCCTGGCAAGGCCATCGCTGCAGTCTCCCAACTGCTGACAGTGCTGCTTGAATTGGAAGCCAGGACTCCCAGAGCCAGAGAGAACCCCCCAGGATATGGCACCTCTTGCCTCTCTCCCAGTCACTTGAGACCCCAGGGCCCTAGACACCTCCTCTCTTCTAGTCTGGCAGGTTGCTCCAGGAATGGGGGTGATGAGGGTCTTGGTATAAGCAGGATACAGGCCTCAGCTGGCTGCCAGGTCACCGCTGGCCAGAGAGCCCAGTGGTGATGTCACGGTAAGTTCAGGAGCACAAACCTTCAAGGCCTGGATCACGACGTTCCTGGGGGCCCTGGAGGATTGGCAGGTGGGCGTGGTGCTGGATTTGCTAAACAAATCTTTTACCTCCCCCTGGGCTTTACATCTGGGGCTCCTGTCTGGCACACCCATTTGTCCTTGCTGGCAGTAGCTGCCTACCATGCCAGGCCTGGCTGTGCTAGGCCTCCTCCTGGCAGCTCTCCTGGGCCTTGGGACGGGGACCTCCTTGTGCCTGTCACGGCAACTCAGGATGCAAGGAGACTACGTGCTGGGTGGGCTTTTCCCCCTGGGCTCAGCCGAGGAGGCCGGCCTCCGCCACAGGACACGGCCCAGTGGCATTGTGTGCACCAGGTATGAAGGTGGGCAGCTGGGGCAGAGGGAGGGTGTGTGCCCAGGTCTGTGGTGCTCCCAGGAAGGGATGAGGTGCAGCCACCTGCAGCCCTGTGTGGCTTCAGGTTCTCATCCCTTGGCCTGTTCCTGGTGATGGCCGTGAAGATGGCTGTGGAGGAGATCAACAACAGTTCTACCCTGCTGCCCGGGCTGCACCTGGGCTATGACCTCTTCGACACATGCTCAGAGCCCATGGCCACTATGAAGCCCAGCCTCATGTTCCTGGCGGAGGCAGGCAATAGCAGCATTGCTGCCTACTGCAACTACACGCAGTACCAGCCCCGCGTGCTGGCAGTCATCGGGCCCCATTCGTCAGAGCTGGCCCTCATCACGGGCAAGTTCTTCAGCTTCTTCCTCATGCCACAGGTGGGCCTGCCGCTCCTGTGTCCCCCATGGGCCCTGCCTGAGGGAGCCCTCACGCCAAGGGTCTCTCGGTCACCACAGGTCAGTTACGGGGCCACCATGGACCGACTGAGCAACCGAGACACATTCCCGTCCTTCTTCCGCACGGTGCCCAGTGACCGGGTGCAGCTGGAGGCCGTAGTCAAGCTGCTGCAGAAATTTGAGTGGAACTGGGTGGCTGCCTTGGGCAGTGACGATGAGTATGGCCGGGAGGGCCTGAGCATCTTCTCAGGCTTGGCCAACGCCCAGAACGTCTGCATTGCACATGAGGGCCTGGTGCCGCCCCTTGGCGCTGATACCCTGCAGCTGGGTAAGGTGCTGGACGTGCTGCGCCAGGTGAACCAGAGCAATGTGCAGGTGGTGGTGCTGTTTGCTTCCTCCCAGGCTGCCCACGCCCTTTTGCGCTACAGTGTCTACCACAGCCTCTCGCCAAAGGTGTGGGTGGCCAGTGAGGCCTGGCTGACCTCAGACTTGGTCATGACACTGCCTGGCATTGCCCAGGTGGGCACTGTGCTTGGCTTTCTGCAGCGGGGTGCCCAGCTGCCCGAATTCTCCCAGTATGTGGAGATGCACCTAGCCTTGGCCTCTGACCCAGCCTTCTGTGCCTCTCTGGATGATAAACCAGACCTGGAGGAGCACGTGGTAGGGCCACGCTGCCCCCAGTGTGACCACATTACCCTGCGGAACCTGTCGACGGGGCTGCTGCAGAACCTGTCAGCTGGGCAGCTGCACCACCAGATTTTCGCCACCTATGCAGCCGTGCACGGTGTGGCTCAGGCCCTCCACAACACGCTGCAGTGCAGCCCCACGCGCTGCCCTGCACGGGAGCCTGTGCGACCTTGGCAGGTGAGGATAGGGCTCCAGGGTTCAGTGCTGGCCCCTTACTGGACAGGGCCAACACCCATCTTAGCTGGAGGTAGCTGATGGGTCAGCCCCGCTTCCCTACCCCATCCCCCAGCTCCTGGAGAACATGTACAACATGAGCTTCCGTGCTCGAGGCCTGGCACTGCAGTTCGACTCCAAGGGGAACGTGGACATGGAGTATGACCTGAAGATGTGGGTGTGGCAGAAGCCGACACCCAGGCTGCACACTGTGGGCACCTTCAATGGGAGCCTTTGGCTCCAGCCCTCACAGATGCACTGGCACATGCCAGGCAACCAGGTGAGCATGAAGCACCCGGGTCCCCACCACAGTGGTGCCCCAGGGCCAGGCCGGTCTCGGGAACGGGGAGTCTCTGGGTCTCAAGGTGCCCGTGGGTGGAGCCAGACACTGCATCCCCACACCCAGGTGCCTGCGTCCCAGTGCTCTCGGCAGTGTGAAGAGGGCCAAGTCCGCCGCGTGAAGGGCTTCCACTCCTGCTGCTACGACTGCGTGGACTGCAAGGCAGGCAACTACCGGCAGAGCCTAGGTGAGCTGCCCTGGCGAGGTCTGCACGGCCCAGAGCCTGGGGAGAGTCCTGAAAGCCCTGGCTCCGTGGCAGGGCCAGGCTGGGGAGCCTGTGATCCCAGCACCAGCCCCCAGCACCCTCTCCCCTACCCTCCCACAGATGACTTCGTCTGCACCCCATGTGGCCAGGACCAGTGGTCCCCAGAGCGGAGTACGCGCTGTTTTCCCCGCAGGCCCAGATTCCTGGCATGGGGGGAGCCAACTGTGCTCCTGCTGCTCCTGCTGCTCAGCCTGGTGCTGGGCCTGACACTGGCTGCTCTAGGTCTCTTTGTCTGCCACTGGGACAGCCCACTGGTTCAGGCCTCAGGTGGGCCACGGGCCTGTTTTGGCCTGGCTTGCCTGGGACTCGTCTGCCTCAGTGTCCTCCTGTTTCCAGGCCGGCCAGGCCCAGCCAGCTGCCTTGCCCAGCAGCCACTGGCACACCTCCCACTCACTGGCTGCCTGAGCACACTCTTCCTAAAGGCAGCAGAGACCTTTGTGGAGTCAGAACTGCCACCAAATTGGGCGACCTGGCTGCATGGCTGCCTGCGGGGTCCCTGGGCCTGGCTGGTGGTGCTTCTGGCCATACTGACGGAAGCCGTGCTGTGTGCCTGGTACCTGGTGGCTTTCACACCAGAGGTGATGACAGACTGGAGGGTGCTGCCCACCGAGGCACTGGTGCACTGCCACATGCGCTCCTGGGTCAGCCTGGGCCTGGTGCACATCACCAACGCCTCGCTGGCCTTCCTCTGCTTTCTGGGCACCTTCCTGGTGCAGAGTCAGCCTGGCCGCTACAACCACGCCCGCGGCCTCACCTTTGCCATGCTAGCCTACTTCATCACCTGGGTCTCCTTCGTGCCCCTCCTGACCAATGTGCAGGTGGTCTACCAGCCTGCTGTGCAGATGGGTGCCATCCTCCTCTGTGCCCTGGGCATCCTAGCTGCCTTCCACCTACCAAAATGCTACCTGCTCCTGTGGTGGCCCAGGCTCAACACTCCTGAGTTCTTCCTGGGGGCAGGTCCTGGGGATGCCAGGGACAGGGGCAGGAGTGGGAGTAGGGAGGGGCCTCAGGGAAACGAGGGACCCTTAACCCCACACCCTCATACCTAGTGACTCCAGCCCTAGTACAGATAGCCCCAAACCCAGCAGCCCCCCAGACTGTGCCCCCACAAAGACCCTCAAGCTCTGGATTCTGACCCCAAGTGTCTGCAAACCTTGAGCCCACTGTGATGCCTAGGCCTGTACCAAATGGGAGAGGGCCTGTGACCCCACCCCAGGGCATCAGATGCAAGCCTTGTCCTTGACTCTGCCAACCAAGGTCTGACCAGGAGGCTTGGGCCCACCATCCTGGGAGGTGGTCCACAGAGGGTGCCTTCAGACCTGCAGCCACACCGTGAACTCTGCAAAGCCCTTTCCAGTCACCAGTAGCCAGGTAGCGTACTGCTCACCTGGCTGCATCCAGCCTGGGGCCTCCACCTAGCCCCCTGCAGGTGTGAAAGGCGGGGAAGGTGGGCATGAGCACATGACCAGGGCAGGATGGGAGGGCCAGCAGGGCAGAGGGCTGCTCAGGGAAGAGAGGGCCTCCTTTCTCCTTGGCCTACCCAAGCCAGCACCATGGACAGAGCCCAGGCAGAGGTGGGGGTCAGCACCATGGCCAGCGCTGGCCACTGGGACCCCTGAAGCCAGGAGCCAGCACCAAGGACAGAAAACTGCTGCCAGGACCCCTGCTGCCATCCAGCACCAGGGACAGAGCCTCACAGACAGAGGAGCCGGGGGACAGCAGCTGTCCAGGACCTCGGGTCAGAGACCAGGGACAGCTCCAGGCTGGGCCCTGCATCCTGCCGAAACCCAGCCAGTGAAGGGACATGGCTCACACACAAGTCCCATAAAATTAAATGCTTTTTAGTGTTTAAAATAGCATTTACACAGAAGCAGCTCTACATGAACTAGACGCGGGACTGACACAGTATCTACAGCGCAGTGAGCAGAGCGGGGCGTGCCGAGACAGTGGCACAACGGCCCCAAGGGAGTCCCGGTGCGCAGGGTGCCCCCTGACCTGCCCCCCACCATCCACCACACGCTTCCAGGCTCAGCCTGTGCTCCCCTCCTCTCTGGGTCCCAGGAGGGCAGGGGAATACGCAGCCACCCCCAGCTGGGCAGGGAGGGGGACAGCTGACTAGCCATTCCCCCAGAGTGGGCAGGCTGGCAATAAATAAATAAGTTAGACCCCACTCTGGGCAGCCAGAGGGGTCTGGGGGCTCTAACCCTGCCACTCGAGGTCCCCACCTGGGCTGACAGGTGAGGCCTGTGCACTGGGTGAGGAAGGCTTCAGGCCCACCTTCACGTGGCTCTGGAAGTGGGAGCAACATGAAGCCAAAGAGGGCATCCTCATCCCCAAGGGAGGTCACCTCCAAGGAGGGGGTCAGAGGGTCCCTGAGGCTCAGGCCAAGGACAGAGATGGTCTCCCCCACCAGGCTCTGCAGATACAAGCCGCTCTACCGCAGGAAATGCCAGATCACAGCGATGGGGCTGATCTCGGCCCTCGCCTCCAGCCTGCTCCCACGACCCCTGGCCAGCCTCCACCACGTAGGCCCACAGAGCTCCTGTAGGGGCCACTGTTCCCCCCATGGGCAGGGTTGAAGGCACAGGCGGCCAGTTACATGATGTCCACAAAAAACTCACAGGGGTTCCCCATGGCCTTCTGGAAGGACTGGCGACTGCCTGTCAACTCTGGGGGGACGGCAGCCAGCTCCCGGACAGGTGGCCCACCAGGTGGCCCACCCACCACTGCATAGGCCTTGGTCAGGGGGTGTAGTGGGGGGAGCCCTGGGGCAACGGCTGAGAGCTGGCTGTGGGGGCTGCTGCCCCGGCTGAGCTGGCTGACCGGTCGCTCCCGCCTGCTAGTGCCGCCGGACCCACTCAGCACCGTGTGGTCTGACTCGCTGCCACTGCCCCTGGCGCCAGCTGCCCGGCGCTCCTCCTCTCGGCCCAGGGCCCGACGGCTGCTCCGGGTGGACCCGCTGCTTTTGCTCCCTGGGGGCGAGAAGGGAGAGAAGGATGATAGGGTCAGCTAGGCCTGGCCATTTCCAGGACCCCTGGCTGCTCCCAGGCAGGCAGGCAGGGCAGGGCAGGACGGGGTGGGTCTGAGCAGGTGGATGTGAGGGACAGCCATGCAGACACAGGGCAGGGCTGGCCCCACCCCAGGAAGCAGGAGCAGCTGCAGAGGCAAGACGGCAGTGGCTGGCAACAGGGGCACAAGCCAGTGTGGTGCCCACACCTCACCCCAATGCTCAGACCAAGGGCTGGTCTCCAGCCGAGTGACTGAGGCACCAGCAGAGACCTGTGTCCTGGCCGACGTGTCAGCAGTCCTGGGCTCCCACCCGGAGACCTCTGTCCACCCAGTCCCAGGGCCCTGGACAGCTAATTGGCTCAGCCCCTCTCCTGGGCTCCCAGGAAGTGGTGGGAACCTGAGGACACAGGCTGGCTGGGGACACGCTGAGAGGGACGCCGGGGGGGACCCTGGCTTACCGGCCCCGAGGGTCCACTCCGCTAGTCCTTCAGTCTAAGGCTTGCTCAGCACAAAGCAAGGGATACATGAGTCACACACCAGCCGGGCACTCACACCCGCCACCAGCGAGGCCTGACCAGAGCTGGGTAGGGCTGGATGGCTGCAAGGGCCTGTCCAGGGTTCATGGATACCCAATAGCTTCCCCTTGGGCACTGCCACCCTCTGGCCCGCCTCTCGTTTCCCATCCTTCTCTGGGTCCCCTGGGCTGGCTACCTGCAACTCTCCCAGACCCTGCAAGCATGGCCATGGGCCTCACTGTGCTCAATGTGGCCTCACACATCTGCTCTAGCAAGCCAACTCCCTGGGGACTCCCGTGTCCTCTGGGCCCTGGGGCAGGGTCTTCTGAGGCACTGTCTCCTTGCTGAACTGCAGGTTCCACAGGAGACATGGTCTGTCCTCTCCTGTGTCCCAGGGTCTGATGCCTGGAGCCACCCCCACCCCCGCTCCCGTCACACCACCTCCTAGCCTCCTGTCTGCCACACCTGGAGCACCAGCCCCCACCCCGCCAGGCACAAGCACCCAAGCCTCCAGGTGCTTGAGGTCCCCTATGGGACTCGACCCTGTCCCCCAGCACTGGCTCAGGTAGGAGCCTGCCCCTAGCAGGCACGCAGCGGGAGTGCAAGGGCAGCAGCAGGGCAGCGAGCTGGGGCGGGGCAGGGCGGGGCGGGGCGGGGCCTGAGCGCTCACCTTCACTCTGCTGGCTGCCAGCACTGCCACTGCCGTAGCCAAAGCCAGGGTCCTGGTAGGCAGGCGGAAAGCAGGGCGGGGGCCCTGGGTACTGGTAGGGGTAGCCCTGACCCAGGGGCCAGGGTGCTGCCGGGTGGGGCAGCGGGGCCAGGGTGTCCTGATCGGAGGCTCCACTGGAGCCACTGTTGAGGGTCAGGGCTGCGAGATCTGGCAGGAGAGAGGGGGTGGGTGAGGGTGGCACAGGGCCGTGGGGTGAGCCCACCACGCAGCCTCACTCACTGCTGCACAGGTCCCCGAAGACGTAGTAGCACTGCTCAGAGAAGGTGACCTTATTGACTGTGTGCCGCAGGAAGCCGTGCTTCAGCATGCCGCTGGCGTACTTCCTGGCCTCTCGCCGCTCCTTGAAGCCCTCCACGTGGGTGTACAGCCAGTCCACCACATCCGCCCCTGGCCCCACGCCCGCTGCGTCAGGCCAGGTCACTCTGGGCCACCCACCCTGCAGAGGAGCAGACTCAGCCCCCTGCCCCCACCGCCAGTTAGGTGTACTCAGTAGGGACTCACCAATGACGGCGTTGGCGATGGTGATCTTGAGCCACATGCGGTCCCGGATCTCCAGCCCCGAGTCCGGCAGCTGCATGACCCGGACAACCGCACTCATGTCACTCTTCACCGTCAGGGGCACCTCCTCCAGCTCTGCGGGACACAGCTCCCTCAGCCACGGGCAGGCAACACATGGCAGGACCAGGGAGTGGGCAGGGGCCAGGTGGGGGCCTGTGTCTCAGCCCGTTCTGGGGCCAGACCTGGGCAAGGCCACCCTGCCCCACAAACGGGACCAGGCACCAGACAGCCTCTTCCCTTCCCCAAGGCCACCTCCCTGCAAGCTCAGGGCATTAGTCGTGTTACTGGCGGAGAAAGCAGAGGGCCACACACACCCCCACCCGGGAAGGGCCCCAGGCAGCACGAGCAGGGAGGGGCTCCAGGCTGGGAGGCCCTGCCCTTCGGCCGTGGATTCCCACCGGGCTCTAGGGAGCTGCCACTCACGCGGGGCGCCGGGCACAGAACTGGTTAGTGAGGAGGAGCTGGTGCGGGAGACAGCGCTGGAGCAGGGGCTCGCACCGTAGCGGGGCAGGGCGCCGGTCAGCGCTGCCGTGTGGGACAGCCAGGCAGCAGGGTCGATGGGCCGCACCGGGTCAGCTGACGGCCACCGCGGGGCAGCAGACGAAGGGTGATGGGCAGATGGGCGAGGTCGGGAGGGCAGGGCACAGGGAAGAGGAGAGAGGCCCTTCAGGCTGGCTCTGGCGCCCCCGCCCCGCCCCCGCCCCGTGGGGCCACTCACCCCTCGGGATGGTGAAGTAGCTGCGGGGGGTCGGGTCCCAGCACTTGGCCACCGTGAGGCTGATGGGCCTGCGGGCAGGTGGTCACGTGGGTGAGGCCCGCACCCCCTCCCGCCTGCAGGCCCCTCGCCCCGCGGAAACGCCCCTCACCCCGTCTGGGACACGAGCTCCCGCAGCACCCGCACAGCGTCGTCATTGCTCATGTTCTCGAAGTTGACGTCATTCACCTGCGGGGCTTGGGCATTAGGGTAGCGCGGCGGGGGGCCACCCCACCCGGCCCAGCGCCCAGCCCCAGGCCCGCACCTGCAGCAGCATGTCGCCGGGTTCGATGCGGCCGTCCGCGGCCACGGCCCCGCCCTTCATGATGGAGCCGATGTAGATGCCCCCGTCGCCCCGGTCGTTGCTCTGGCCCACGATGCTGATGCCCAGGAAGTGGTGCCGCTCTGTGGGAGGGGCCGTGAGCAGCTGGCCGCCCCGCCCGCCCCCCCAGCCCGGCGCCAAGCCTCACCCATGTTGAGCGTGACGGTGATGATGTTCAGGGACATGGTGGAGTCGGTGATGCTGCTGAAGGAGGAGGCCTGTGGAGGGACCTGGTGAGCCGCTGCAGGAGCCGCGCCCCCCACCGGCTGCCCACCACCTACCCGGTCCGTCTGCCGCAGGCGCTGCTTCCGCCGCCGACGCTTGTGCTTCCTAATAAGCCGGGAAGAGGTGCTCTGCTCCGTGGAGCTGCTCAGCCTGGTGGCAGGGTCAGAGGTCAGGGCCCGGCACGGGCGCCCAGGCCCTGTGCTCGTGGCCGGGGCCTGAGCAAACACCGGGCAGGAGCTCCGCAGCCAGCCAGCCGGTCACTGCCGCCACGCCCCTGCCCACCGGCTGGTGTTGTCCTCCTCGTCCGAGTCAATGAAGCTGCTGGATTCTAGCTCGCTGCTCAACACTGTGGACGCGCTGTCTGGAGGCAGCCCCAGGTCCCGACGCCGGTCTCCCCTCGGGTGCCCATTGGCCCGGGCAGCTGTGGGGGCAGCAGGGCTGAAGGTGAACACATGGCCCAGGGGTGCTAGGCCTGAGCAGTCTGCACCTCCAGCTCCTGTAGTCAGAGTTGGTGAGGTGACCGGGTCGTGGGGGTCACCAGGCTTGGGGCCTGACCTCCTCTGGATGGGGCTAAGTAGCTGTTGGCAGGACCTTGGGGGTCCTGGGGGTTTATGGCAGACAAAGCTATAGTACCTTCTTCTCGGTTTCGCCGTCGGGCTCTCTCCCGCCGGTGACTGACCATGGACTCCGTGCCAGTCTCATTGTCCATTCCATCACGACTGCTGGCCACATTTGGGCTGTGCGGACAAGAAGGGGGTGGGACAGGGCAGGCCAGGCCACCAGTGCCTCAGATATTTTCCAGATCCTCCCCTGCACCAGGTGAGCCCCTGACCCCCCAACCCAGGTGTGCCCTGCCCCTGTGACAGCTCCTTCCCTCTGGGAAGGTGGTCCTTGGGCAGCAGGTACGCGAGTAGCAGGGCTTGGCCCAACCAGAATCCTTACTGGAAGGAGGGTGGCCGGGAGTCCCCGATGCCACCTGTGCGCTCGAGGGGTGGGGGAAGGTCTGTGTGGCAGTCAGTTCCCTGGGACCCTGCATCTGAATGAGCACCCTCAGCTAGGACCAACTGTGGAGGGAGAGCGGGGGCTCAGGACACCCTCCCTCTTCTTGACCAGGGTACCCAGGACATGAGGGCCATCCCTCCACCCTCCCTCACCCCGCCCCACACCTGCCTTCTCCCCCCAGGGAAAGCACCAGCCCCCACCATGGACACTGCCCCTGCTGATCACTCCCACGATAGCACACAGGCACCCCCAGGAGCCTCCAACAGACCATCCAGGGGCTCACCCAGGAGACCACGCGACCATTGAAGCAGGGCAGCTTGGCGTTGTCGTCCAAGATCTCCTCTTTCACCACCCTGCTGGCAGATGAGGCCATGAGACCCCACCCCAGGCCCAACACAGAGACTGGGGTGCCTGTCACACCACAGATGCCATCTCTGGGTGCCCTACCCAGCAGATTCTACTCTTATGGGGTCTTGTTATCCTCCATTGGTCCCAACCCCCCAACACTGGGGACAGTGGCTATTGACAGTTCACAGAGTCAGGCCAGGGTTTCCCTGTACCCCCAGGTCACACTGCCAGCCCGGAGCAGGCAAGGGGTTAGGAGGGTGAGGCTCCTGAGAGAGAGCCTGGCTCCCAAGCTCCCTGCCCTTCCCTGGCCCCATCTCAGACACCTACCCAGGGTGATGCTGGTTCAGCTCCAGGCCCACCTACAGCCCTGCACCCTGTCCTGGGTCCCCAGATGCCCACCCAGCAGCCTCTCACCACGGCCACATGGCACTCAGGGGCCCCGTTGGCTCTCCCACACCCCTCATCCCAAACCCATGTGTATCACACAGCTCTGCCTTATGACCATTCCAGAATCAGCCTCCCATCAGCCGACGCCCTGCACTCCGGTCCTGCCTGCAGCCACTGCCCCCCTACTGGTCCCCAGGGTCTCCCAGAGGGGCCCTTTCTCTCCAGCTTCCGTGGGGTCTGGGCCACATGATGTGGTCTCACCCTGCTCACTGCTGCACCAGGTCCTTCCCTGCACCCCTAGCACAGAGCAGAGCTGGGTGCACAGCTGGCCTCAGCAAGGTGCAGGGACGGCCAGGCCTATTACAGACTGGGGTGGCAGAGAAGGCACACAGGCCTAAAGGCAGTCTGCTGCTCTCCTGGGTCATCCACTCAGCCAGGGAGACAAAACAGACCCATGTGCACTAGACCAGCTCCAACTCTCAGGGGTCCATGGTCTCCCGCAACTGAGGACCAGAATAATCAGGGACAGAACTGACCAGATGCTGGCTACACCCATTAACCAATGCCCAGCCCTGTATTAATGCTGCCCCCCTGGGCTGAGGGCACCCAAGCAGTCTGCAGAGAGAGTGCAAACAGGGAGACCAAGTGACCTGGGGTCAGGGCTCACAGGGCAAGGGTAGCTGGAAGGGGCTGCGGCCCAGACACCCAGAATGCAGCCTCCAGGGCCCAGCTATCCCAGCACCTGGCCCTGCGCTCTGCCAAGCACAGTGGGATTTTCCACACCCAGGACTCAGCCTAGTAGAGAAACAGGAGCCGGGAGAAAAGGCTGGACGTGCACCTGGCAGGAAGCAGCCTCCTGGCCTGGTGGGCCTAATGCCAGACAGGGCCACCCCTGCCTGCTACTCCAAGTCCAATGGCCCCAGGACACCTCCACCCAGCTTGCCCCAGGCGGCAGCAGGTGGCAGGAGGCCCCTGAGGAACTGGCCACCCCCTCACCTACCCAGGAAGCAAGGCCTAGCCTACCCACCCACTGAGATGAGGCCCCAGGCCTAGGGCAGAGTGGCTGGTAGATAGGACCAGCCTGGGAGGGAAGGGTACACCCCTCTGTGGTCCTGCTACTGCCCCCAGGTGCCTCCTAGGGCCCCATGCCAATGAGGTGTACACCCAGTGGACAGAGTCATTTCTTAGGACCCTCTCAGTATCCATGTCTCTACTCACTGGCCACACCCTGCAGAACTGGGCCAGCCTTCAAGAGAGCTGCAATCCCATCCCTGGCTGGCCAGGAGGTCTCAAGAGAAGCTCTTGGCCCTGGGGCGGCTGAGGGTGGGACAGGGGAGCCCTTGAGGGCCCTGGGGCTCCACCCACTGCCACCGATGGTCCTTGGGAACCTATCCATAGCAGACCCCAGCAAGAGTCCCCACCTTAGCCCAGCAATGGCCCCAGTGGGCCTAGCAGCTTCTCCCTGCCACACCCAAGTCCCAGCCCTCTCTGACTCACCCCTGGGAACAGGAGCAACCCCAGCACCACCTCAGGCAGGCTGCCTGGTCCCCTGCAGGCCCACTCCTCTCCCGGGCCTCCCCAGCCAGGGCCCCCAGAGGAGCAGGGCCCCCTCAGGTATGGCTCTTGCCCACGTGGCAGCTCTTCCCAGGGCCCAGCAGCTCTGCTCCCCCAGCCCTCCCAGTCTGTACAACCCAAGTCCTGTCTTCTACCTGGATGTGGTGCCCTAGGGCGGGGGGGGGGGGGGGGGGGGGGGCCGGGCAGAGTGTGAGAGTGAGTGTGCGAGGCTGCCCACAGCAGCCAGCACAACCTCCCAGGAGCACAGCAGGGTCAGGACTAGTGAGAAGCAGAAGTTACCGCCATACTTCGATACCCTAGACTGCTTGTGAACCTGGCCTCTCAGGTGGCAATGGCCTCAGCTGCCCTGCTGACCCCTGGGCAGCCACCCAGAGCACCCCAACCTAGAATTCCTAAGGAAACCCTGGTTAACCTCAAACTTGTGGCTGCTGGGTTCTGCCTGCCGCCCTTTGACCCACCCCAGGGAGGAGTCTGCGCTAAGGCAGCGTTCTCAGAGCCTGGCACCGACTGGCCAAGAAGGACCACAGACTCTCAGAGACCACAGCAAACCATCGGCCAGCCTCCCCAGCAGTACGGCTCCAGTGCACCCCCTCCCCCACAGAACGAGCTGAAGGGGCAGTGCAGAGCCGTCCTGAGCCCTCGAGGAGGTCCCTGTGGGTACCTGTGAGTCAGGGTCCCACCCCCACTAGGCCTTGGGGTGCACCAGGCCCTTATCCCAGGGCTGGGGTCTCACCAGCCACAGGCTCCCACACTCAGCTGTGAAACCCAGAGCTGCTGGCTCTTCCACCTGCCCGGCAGGCAGCACTTCCCCAGGCTGAAGCTACATAGGCCCAAAGTCCCCACAGCTGGCCAATGTGCCACAACTACCCAGACTTTTAACACCAAGGAGCTACAAGAGGTACAGAGAGGCCAAGTCACTGATTCCAGATGGCTCAGCTGAGGAGAGCAGAGGAAGAGGTGCTCAGACATTCTGGGCCCTCTGGGCCATGAGGCTCCATCAGAACACTTGTGCCCATAGACATGTGACCATGGAACCAAGGGCTCCCAGCCCTTAACCTTGCCAGGACCATCCCCAGTCTCTGGGCCTGGGTCACTACCCTTACTCCTCTGCCTGGATGCCTACCCTGCACTTCCAGTCATCAGACCCAAGACTGGGCACTTCTGTGGGACCCAACAGAGGCCTTGCCCCTAAGTCCGGGGTCATTGGAGTGGGGGTACCCTTACCTGATGGGCCAAAGACACCATGTGGGGAGTGCAGCCCAGCCCAGGGGAGGCTCTGTTCCTTACTTGTGGCCAAATGTGGTCAGCGGAAGCTCAAGGAACCCAGGACTAGCCCACAGTGGACTAGGGTTGAGGCAGGAGACCCAGACTTATCAGGGTACTCCTCATAGTAGCCAGTCTGGGTCCAGCCTGGCAGCACAGTCAGGACCTGCCTTCTCACCCCCAAAACCAAACTAGATTCACTTGACATTTAGGTAAGCTTCTAGGCCAGTGCTCATTCATGCTAGAGTGTGAGTGATTGGCTAGCCCTTCCCATATGAAATTTATTCCACAAAATAAATGATTCTATAGACTAAGTGGAGCTTGGAGCTCTGCAGGTAGAACTCGGGAGGAGGGAAGCAGCTGACAGAAGTCCTCCTTCGGGCTCCTGAGACCACCAGACTATCAGCCAAGAGGCAAGGAAGAAAGAAGGTGAGCCCACCCTGTCTGCTTGCTCACTGCCATGCCAGCCCAGCCTTGACCTTTGACCTTCCCTCTGCCACCCAACTCTCATGGATACCTGAGGTCCCCAGGCTGTGCCTCTAAGCTCTCTGCCTTCTCTCTACACCCACCCATAGCCATTCCCAAGCCTGCCCAAACACCCCCAGGTCTGCCCTCAGCCCCGGTTCCCACCCCACAGAGAACAGCATGCCCTGATTCAAGACCCCAATCAGCCACCCTTCCTCCATGAGGGCAGAGGCTCTGCCACTGCTGTGTGGTGGCAGCCCCCAGGGAGCCAGGACTGAGTGGGTCCCTGAGAGATGCACCCCAAGTGGCTCTAGACGGCCCCTAGGGGTAGGACACCCTCCTCACCACACCCTTCCTGGGAGCATGAGTTTATACAGAGGAGCATCTGTGACTTTGATTTTAGTTAAATTAATAAACTAAGTTAAAAACCAAAGCGCCCTTTCTTCCACCCCATTTCGAAGCCAGGGATGCCCAGGCTCAGAGGAGTTCCAGGACAGTGTGAGGGCGCCCAGCCAGAGGCGGCAGGCCAGGCTTGAGCACCCCAGGCCCTGACCTCAGGCAGCAGGAGCACCCACGCTGGGGACGGCCAAGGACGCACCCTCCCCTCAGCTTCTCCTACTTAGAAAGTCCAAAAAGACTCTCAGCGCCCCCGCCCCCAGAGTCAGTCACGGAGTGGCCCAGGCTTGACCTGACTGGGTCTGCCCAGGGACTGTGCAACCACAGAATCCAGGAAATGGCCTCAATGTCAAAGTCCCAAGACATGGCCATACACAAGGACACTGCTTGCCTGAGGGCACCAGGCACACCTGCTAGGCCCACAGGGCCTCAGTTAGTCCTCCCCCCTTAGCAATGCGGAGGGGAGACTCAGGTTTCTGTGGCTGAGCCGGGTCAGGCCCTGCTGGACAGCCACCTCCTGCTCCCAGTCCCAGAGGCCCAATTCAGCACCAGTGGCAAGTCCCTTCTCCCAGGAAGGCCACCACAGCACTCCCGCTCCCAGATGCCCAAGTCAGCTGACAGCCTGGGCTTCTCCCAGGAATGCCAGGAGGGACCAAGACCCAGCATCCAGGAACCTCAGGGAAGGGTGGGTGGCTCCAATCTGAACTGTCCAGGTGCCTTGAAAAAGGCAGCCAGGAGGAGCCTGCCCTGACTCCAGAAACTTCTGCAAGTCCCAGCAGACTGCTTGGGGTCCCCACTGCACCCACCCCGCATTCCCAATCCCAACTGGGGGTGTTCTCTGGGTGACCTGTCCCACCCAACTGCTCCAGGCTTGACCCTCCCCTGACCCCAGCCTCCATGAAGCAGCACCCCCCAGATCTGCCCTCAGCCCTGGTTCCCACCCCACAGAGAACAGCATGCCCTGAGCCCGACCAGGATCAAAAGAAGGGACTTAGGTTTGGGATGGACTGTCAGGGCACAGGGGACCAGCTAGACTGCCCTCAGGAAGCCAGGGTCCCCACCTGCCCATCATTCGGAGCTCTCCGGCGCCCGCTGGCAGTCAGGGCCCCAGGGTCCCAATTTTGGCAGACAGATAGGTGCACACGCCAACAAGGGCCACTAAGGTGTCGGAGCAGACCCTGGCCCTGTACACACCCTGCGCGGGCGCCCGGGATCGCTGACAGCCCAGACCCCGAGCCCTGCCCCACACAGACAGGTGCCCTCCCGCGCCCGCCCAGGCCGCGCGGCCCACTGACCCGAAGTCCTGATCCATGGACTTGAAAAAGAATTTGTAGGCGTGCACCGGCCGGTTGCTGAGCACGTTCTTGAAATCGGCCAGCGTGACGCGCTCGGGGGCCACGGGCAGCTTGACCAGGTACGGCGTCTCCTCCTCGTCCATGTGGTAGATGATCTTGGTCTCCGCCATGGCGCGGCGGCGGCGCGAGCCCGCGCGGCGCTCAGGGCCCGGCCCGCGGCTCGGACACGGGGCGCGCTCCCCGCCCGCCGGCCCGCGCCCCGCCCGGCCGCGCCG